CCTTTTCTGTAGTCGGAGGGTTTCAGCCAGTGGCAGTGTTGTGGCTGAGTAGCAGTCACATAGATGTCCTTCGTGTCACCTATACATTTATGGTGTGAGAATGTTAAAAATTCTTTTATCTTCAGGTCTTAACTCTCATAGAGCTCAAGTGAAAGAACAGATACATACTTTAAAATTGTCACTGTTTTCCTTCAATTGTTTCCAGGTGAGGAACAAAGAATAACATGTAATTAACCTGATTTCTTATATGCTTCTTAGATCATTGATTACTAATTTTTTCTGGATTTTTTTTTAACTTCTAAGACCAGTATCAAAGCTTAATCAAGAGAGTGAGAAAAATTTGGTGTCCACCAGGGTTTTGAAGAATTCCCTTTTTAATATTTTTCTATTTTAAATGATTGACTTTTATAGGACAGTCCTTCAATTTTGTGATCCTTGATCTGGTAGCCTTCCTAAATGACTGTCAAGTTTAAAAAACAGAAACCAACTCATTGGTCATATTATTAATAGCTCTGGCAAGAAGTATGTAGGTTCTCTACTTCCATTCTTTGAATAAGATAGGTTACTGATAGGTTTAATTTTCTCTCCCTTAGTTGCTTTTTTATTGTTCTAGAATTAGATCTAAATTAGTTTGAAAGTTGTTGAAACTGATGTACATTTACCTGCATTTATAGTTTAATGAACAGCTAAAACCATCATGCTTCTTTCACTTGTTAGTACTGCCTTATGGCTAGTAAAACAAATAACCAATTTTACTACTTAACTATAACTAACAGCATAGTTTTAATTTTTAAAATAAAAAATATTGCTTAGTAACAAGTCACTGTGTTCTTCATCCACTAGTATGTAGGAAGGTAGGGATATCTAGTTTTAATTATTGACTAGGGGATAGAAGAGGTACACTAATATAAAATTCAGTGTGAAAACATTTGGTTATACACTCAGATTCAATACTGATTTTCTTTGAACTCCTTTTATTTTTGTCTTTCTTGTTAATAACTTTGCTTTTAACAAGGTTATTCATGGCTGGACTGTTTTTTTGTACTGTTGAGAAAATGCCTAATTTTATATAAGAACATAACATTTTTATAAGAAGAGTAAAAGCTAATATTAATTAATGCAGATCTTTCATTATGTCATTCCTTTTAAACTTAGTTGTATCAGACTGGGTTCGGTCTGGAGATAGAAACCACACAGAGGGTTAAACAGGGTAAGTTTTATGTACTGAATTATTAGACTCTGATAAAAGAGTGACAAAAATGTGACTGTATATGGTTCCCTACGGCTAAGAAACAAAGGTCACCCTTACAAGGAGCCCCTTTCCAAGGCTGGGTTTAGAACTTGTTGAAGGAGGTCAAGTTCACCTCATTGGATTAGTAGGAAAATTTACTATTTTACCCTGATTAGAGCTGGTCTGTCATCACTGGGCAAGCAGGACAATGTGGAGTGCAGGCCACCAGGAACAGGTCATGGGTGTGCGGAGGGAGTGGTAGCTCTGTGGGGAACCATGGTCAGGCTACCCCTATGGGTCTCTGTAGGAAATCAGGTTGCTGACTGGGGCAGGGGACCTTCAGTGTGCCTGCCTGTACAGTCAAGAGCCCCATTCTCCTGCAGTGTCCTTTGAGCACCTTACACTGAGGAAGCTTAGTGTGCTTGTCACAGCAGAGGTGCTTAAAGACTTTATAGCAGTGCATCTATTGAAGGGTGACTTTGGAATTGAGTCATTAAATTGATAATGGGCACAATAATGTTCCTTTTTCCAAGGTGGGTTTGTTTATTTGTTTGTTTGTTTGTTTGTTTTTGGCCAGATGAGTATATAAAAACTTTTGCTGATAACCTTCCTGTACTTTTTATTGTATGTTTGTATTTGCTTTCCTTTCTTTAGCCCTGTTAACATTTTGAGTCAGATAATTCTCAGTTGTGTGGAGCTGTCCTATGCATTGTGTGGTGTTTAGCAGATTCCCTGACCTGTACCCACTAAATGCTAGTAACACACACGTATGTAATTGTGACAGCCAAAAATGTCTCCAGACTTACTGGGGAACCAAATCTTACCTGCTGAAGAACCACTGCTTTAGCCCATGTTTTCTTTTTTTTCCCCCCTGTTAAGAACAGTCTAAGTCTTTCATTTTATAAAGTTTTTCTTGTGGTTTTTAACAAGTTCTATTTTAAGAAAAGAGTGTGTATTTAGTAATTATAAACTTTTATTTTTAGAAGACACATTAGAAGCTATTTAATCTAATGCCTTGGTTTCATCTAGGAGTGAATTAGGGTAGACTTTTCAATTGATTTGTTTCTGAACACCAGCTATGTAGTTGCAAGCCTAGGAATAGAATGTAGAACTTTTTTTAAAAAGATTTTATTTATTTATTTTTAGAAAGAGGGAAAGAGAAGAAAGAGAGGGAGAGAAACATCAGTGTGTGGTTGCCTCTCACATGCCCCACCACTGGGGACCTGGCCTACAACCCAGGCATATGCCCTGACTGGGAACCAGCAACATGTGTTGCAGGCCTGTGCTCAATCCACTGAGCTACACCAGCCAGGGCAGATCCCAGAACTTCCAATGAAAAATTCAATACATAATATCCTATTATTCATTCTTTGACTCAAGAGTATATATTATACATGGATTGTAGGTAGGTGCTAGAGATCATTAATGATGAGGCAGTGAGTAAAAAAGCATTGAAAGAACAATTGATTCATATATGAAAGAACTGTGGTCAGAGGGGCTCTTCTTAACATTAAGATGCAGTTTTGTGGTTCCAACTGTTGAAACGGTTGTGGACTTTGAATCAGAAGACCAAGAGTCTGGTGTTGGTTCTGTATTAAATTCATAACAACCTGGACCTTAGTTGTCATTTGTGAAATTTCAGTAAACTAACTGGATTCTAAATCCCCTGTCATACCGGTTTTAGTGCAGTATCAGCCTTTCCCCTGATTGGAGTTGAGGATGAGAGTAGAGAAGCCTAGAGCCTGTCACAGTCTTCTAGGACAGGGGTGTAAGAAGAAACAAACTATTTTATATGAGTTTGATGGCCTAAGGGGAATGGATAGATTGCCAGGCAATTGGATTGAGGCAAATCTAGTATTATAGTAGCGAATATGCTTTACTACCAGACTGATCTGAAATTCTGGAGCTGTTGTGTGCTGTACAGAGATTTGATTCTAAGAAAACAATAATTTATTTTGATGTAGAATTCTGGGTGAGTTAAGGAGTTAAAAAACAATACATAGAATGGGAAACAATATTTGCTTATCCTTTATCAGATAAAGGATTTATATTCAGAATACATAAGGGACTCTAATAATATACAATTAAAAAAAGTTAAAAAGGAGACAAAAGATTTAATAGACATGGCTCCAAAGAAGATATATAAATGGCCAGTAATGGAAAGATGCTCCGTATAATTAATCCTTAGGGAAATTAAATCAAAACCATAAGGAGATACCACGTAGCACCCACTAGGGATGACTATAATAGAAAAGATGGACAATGACAAGTGTTGGCATGGATGTGGACAAATTGGAACATTTATACATTTCTGAATGGGAATGTAAATTGGTGCTGTCTCTTTGAAAAAACAGTTTGGCAGTTCCTCAAGTTGTAATTACTATATGGCAGTTAAACAGTTACCGTCTAACTCAGCAGTTCCACTCCTAGGTATATATACAAGAAAATTGAAAATGTGCATCCACACAAGAACTTATACAGAATGTTCATAGTAACCAACAAGTGAAAACAACCCAAATGTTCCATGAACTGATGAACAGGTAAAAAAAAAAAAAAGAAATATCTCCATACAATTAAATATCATTTGGCCATAAAAAAATTAATGAAGTTCTGATACATTGTTCAGCATGAATGAACCTTGGAAATATAGTCTGAGAGAGAGAGAGCAGATACTGTATGATCCCATTTATATGAAATTTCTGGAGTAGAGTTGAGATTAGTGATTTCCAGGGGATGGAGGAAGGGGAAAGGAAATAACTATTAATGGGTACAGATTTCTTTTGAGGATGATGAAAATTTTCTGAAATTAGGTGTTAGCGATGGTTGCTCAACTCTGAATGTACTAAAAGAACACCCAGTTGTACACTTTAAAGGGATCAATTTTATGGTATGTGAATTATATCTTAGTAAAGTCGGTTTTTTTCTGCTTCTAATTTTTTAAAAAAATTTATTGTTCAATTATAGTTGTTCCCATTTCCCCCCCATTACTTTCCCCTGCTCCACCCACTCCCACCTTCCACTTTCAGTCCTCCCTCCACTCCCCCCATTTCTCCCATCCCCCACTCCACCCCTCTTGCCTTTGAGTGAGCAAAATAGAACCAGAGACATGGAAATAAAGAACAAACTGACAGTAACCAGAGGCGAGGGGGAAGAGGAATAACGGGAAAGAAGGGGAAGGGTCAAATCAAGGAACATGTATAAAGGACCCATGGACAAAGTGAAGTGGGCTTTTTTAAAAAATTGAACCTGAAAATTTAAAAATGGTATAGTTTAAGCAGTCAGTTAACATTTGTTCACATTTCTTTCAAAGCATTTTCTATAATTTATCAGGGGGTTTTTTTCTGTTTCATGTTTACTGGGTTTGGTGCTTTGACTTTGTTTCTTTAACCAAGTTCTGGTTAGAATTTAGGTCACTTGACGCTGTTGCCTTTATAGTTTAGACATAGGAGTAGAATAAAGGCTATCAAGACGTCCACCATCTGAAGTTTTTGATGTCTTTTGCCTTGATAACACATGTAGTCATAATCCGTTAGGGTTCTCTTACGAGAAAAAATGTGTATGTGAATTATCTAGGAAGAAGAAACAGTAATGTAAAAATTATTTTTTCTATCTTTATATTTAGTTAAAGAAGCATAAGCTTAAGGGGAAAAAATAGCATACAAGTGATGCCCTTTTAAAAACTTCTAAGGTAAATGTTTAACGATTTTCATCTCTTCATGTGAAGTATTAAATGGTAATGTTATTCATATTTAATAATTTATCATTACAGACAGATTTGACCAGTTTTGGGCCATCAATCGGAAACTCATGGAATATCCTGCAGAAGAAAATGGATTTCGTTACATCCCTTTTAGAATATATCAGGTAGGAAGTAACATTTTTGACAGTAACAATTTACAAAAGCCTCAGACATCTTACTTCTTAAAGCAGTCTAGTCCAAAACTCTTTTAAGTTTGCATAGCAACTGAATAGTATTTCTCAGGGCTTTCCAGATTTCTTTCCATTGGTGACAGTCAAATGAGTGACTGCTCTGAAATATTTGTCTCATATTCATTTGATCCTCATTATTCACAGAGTCTGTATTTGCAGATTTGCCTGCTTGCTAAAATTCACCTGTAACCCACAGATGACTCAGCAGTGCTGTCTATTGTGGACCTGTGCAGAGGGACGAGGAATTTGATTTGCCCAGTACACACATTCTTGGCTTTGCTGTCGCCACCTTGCTTCTTCTCTCACACTGTGAACAAGTGACTCTACTTAGTGCTACGTTTTTCACATTTTCTGCTTTTTGTTGGTGATGTTGGTATTAAAAATAGCTCCCTTGCACAGTGCTGAAGTGCTGTCTTTATACAAAAACACACGTAAAACAAAGTGATATATTGATCAGTTGAAGAACATGTGACCAGAGGTTTGCTGTAACCCAACCCTGTATCTCCCCTAGGAGCAGTGGTTCAGCATTGCTAATTCAGTGTTTGTGGTGGCTATAAGCAAAGACCACAGATAAGAAGAATCAAGAGTCTTCATTGTCGTGCAGTAAGATAGGTGATAGGTACTCCTTACAACAAGCACCCTTTCATGGGGTAAAGAAACTGCGCGTTTCTATAGAGTATGTTAAAACTCCTATGTGTTTCTCATATAGCAAACAGTATATATTTGTTGAATAAATGGTATTACAGAAAGCAAGTTACCTATTATGAAAAAAAGTTAAGAATAGGAATTGGAAATATAATACCAAATTCTCTATTCTAGCAGAACTTCCATTCCACTCAAAGAGGTAGTGTCATAACTTGTCTTTGTAGCCATTGTCAGTGTCCCACAGTCTTTATTCATAGTTACTTTGATAGTTATTTTCAAATCTTTTGTAGAACTATCATGTAGAGGAAACAAATTGTCTAACTGAAAACGAGGAAACAAAAATCCCAGTATACTCAAAGAATGAAAGGTGTTTCTGACTTAAGGTTACTTTTCATTGATTTCATTAACATGATGAAAGGTAGACTATTTTAGTTCACAGATTCATAAAGTGAGAAAAATGCCCAATGGAATAAGACCACATTATCTAATTAGTCACACTCTACCTCTTCTTCCTTTTTTAATAGGAAAATAAAATTTTAATTCTACAAGTCACTTTGTTAAGCACAGTTATTACACAGTGGGTTTGGAAATACCACAGTCTGTTTATTTATACTTTATCTTGTATCTTGAAGAATCTGAGACATTTTACAAAAAACAAAATGGAAATTCAGCATGAAATTACATAAGCTATGAATAAGTGAAACCCTCAAATTTAGTAAAATTGACCTGCAAATTTGACCTCTAGCTTTTTATAACCTACTAGGTTGTCAGGGAAAGCTAAACTTCTTGGGCATTATATAGGAAAGAAATTTCATTTAGAGGGGTCGGGGCAAAATCCTTTATACCTTACCTACAGTAAAAAAAATTGTAGTTTCCATAAAACTGCTTCCTAAAGTGTCACTCAGTGATAACTAAAGACAATGTATCATAAGCCATGTTTCATCCACAGTATCATAAAACATTCGGTGAAGTATTGGGATGGTTAAGACAGACAAGAATTTTAGGCTGTTTTATGGGAGGATGTGTCTATCAAATAAGAAGGAAAATAATCAGTGAAGCATGGCAGTTGAGAATTGGAATTAACCAGTAAAGGTGAAGCCAGCAGAGGAGAGGTGTGCAGAGAACTGTTAAGAAAGGAGGGGAAGATTTGTTCTGATCACATGGGAAAGTCTCAGTCTTCCCTGTATAGCAAGGAGTAAAGCTAGCTGCCAAGAAGAGGAATCTAACAGTTTTGGCAACTGTTCTGTTCCACAGTGGCCAAATAGAACAGTTCCTGTATTTTCATTAAAAAAAAAAAAAATCAAGATAGACTGCAGGAAGCTTAGTTGTGTACTGAGAAAAGAATTATCTCACATTAGATGATTCTGTTCTCACCACCTAGGTATTCCTTAAAAGAACCTGTAGGATAGTTTTTCAGAACTGGGTTCAGTAATGATATGCTTGGGTTATTTCACAGAGAAAAGCCAAAATAGAGTCAGGTTTTATGGACTAAGTATAATATTTATAGTGGGTAAGATTTTTTTTTGTAGTCTGTAAATCTTACAGGAATTTCTTCACCGTCACTGACATAAATAATGGTGATTCATATATAGGCTAAAAACAGCAGGTTATCATAGAATTTTAGAGTAGTCCTTAAGTTTTCTGGGTGGAATTCAAATTTTTTTTTTTAAGCCACAACCCCCTTTGATTCTGAGCTTAGAAGGGGTGGGTGGATGGGGACCAATGGGGTTGACTTGGGTAGCTTGACTCTCTCCTCTTGGGCCCAGTAGTTATAGCAGTGACTACCTTATTTATAGAAATTCCGAAACACAGTTTGAAAATTACTTCTCTCTTTAGGTCTGTACAGGTTCAGTGCTTTGCCCAAGTTAGATAGTTCCAGAACGAGTTAGCATCCCTGGCTGGATACACTAATAGCCTCAACATACTAGTAACATATTTGAGGTAAGGTCAGATGTTTTCTAAAATATCTCTGTAGTAGGACTTAGCACAGGGTTTTGTACACTGTAAGTGCTTCATAAGTACTTATTTAATTGAATCCTGGGGTATTAAAAGTATCAAGGATCACATAATTTTAAAGCTGAAAAACTACTTCATAGATCAAATAATTCAAAACTGGAAAAGCTAGCAGAGTTTCCTTGATTTTAGATGGATGCTGGTTTTAATAAGGGCAATGCTGTTGTAGCAGTTGAAGAACAAAAAACACTTCTTACATTAACTAAAATGATGGGAGAAGAGTAGGAACAGGCAGAACAGAGCTATTGGAAGGGTTGCTTAAGAAAACAATGCGTGATCAAGATCACATTTAATTTTGACCTCTTTTTGCTTCAGTGTCCTAGTTTGACAGTTGGTAACTACATGTAAACCTCACTGAGTTCAGAAAGTTATAAAATACTGGGAGACAAAAAGGATGAAGCAGTTACCCTGGGAAAAAAGTTGTTTCCTAGAAGAGCAACGAACTAGAAGGAGGCCGCCGAGGCTCTGCGGGAGGCCTGACACTGACACCTGTGTTTTCACAGGAGGCAGTCTCGCCAGGCCTGTTTCCTCATCCATACAATGAAAGGGGCGTGACTGGGGGAGTTTATACATCTGGTTGCAGCTGTTTTTAAAGAAGCTGTGTGACCAATATGTCATTGTATCAGTGATGCTCTTATTTTTTAAAACATTTAAACTCCTGTTTTCAGAGCAGATTCCTCATTTGTATAAGAGCCCTTTTCTTTATGGCACTGTTTGACCCAAGTCGTTATGGTGCCGTATGACTTCTACTCACTACTAAAAATGAAATTTATACTTTTCAGCCAGTTCATCTTTTTATTAAGGCAGAGTAATTGTTTTGTTGGTGCTGTGTGTCCAGGGTCTAAAAAGTGCCTGGCGTGTAGTAGGCATTTGTGAATATTTGTTAATTCAGTAAATTGTTCCTTAATAATTAATAGCTAATTCAGGGCTATTCTTTTGTACCATGGACTCCCTATGATTGTGCCATATTGAATTCTCAGAGTTTAGTAAAGTATCTTATTTGTGGAGTAGTTAAATAAAATACATCGCAGACATCCCCAAGAGTTCCAGGACCGATTTGAGACAGATGCCTTTCAGCACTTATATGGATGGTTGGGTTCTAGCATGTATATTTAACTACACAGTAGTTTCTGTATGGTAAATACTTTAAGCTCCTATGGGAAAAGTGTGTTATACTATTACTTAATATAGGAATTATGGTCAGAATAATAGTACAGTTGTACAGAAAGGAGATCTTCCTTTTCACATTTACATTCTTTTCTGGGGAAAAATTGTCAGCTGTATCCATACCTCTTCCTGTGGTGTCATAACACAGGAGGATTTAGAGAGAGAATGTGAGAGAGAGAGGGAGGGGGGATAGAAAGAGAGAATGTGTATGAGAGAGAGAATGGTTTTTATAGAGTTCTATAATTAGATAGAAAGTGGGAAGCTAGAGAATTCTCAAAATTTGCTTGATGAGATGTGGCTGCCAGGTGGGGCCCGTGTTCAGGCAGATTGCTGCCTGATCTTTCCTGTGTCAAGATGAATGTGCATTTTTTCCTCAAATAGGAGACAGAGCCTGAGGTTTTCTTTCTTATATAACTTTCTTGTTGGCTTTACCCATTTCCAGTTTGGTTCTTACTTGAATTTGTTAAAATTTTGGAAGTGAGATAGGTAAGTGAGTATAAAATTTAGGAGCCTTAATTTTTCCCAGTTGTTCATTTCCTGGCTTTTTCCGACCCTGTTTTGTATTTTCAGTTCTTCATGCTTGCCTAACCAAAGGAAGGTGGGCTCTGCTTTCCGTTTTCCTAATTATGTGATCTAACAGTGACACAGCTTTCTGTTGCCCGACTCCTTCACAGCTGATTTGTTTGGGTGGTTAGCATACTCCATTGATTTACATAGCTTTTACTTAGGCTGCATTTTGATTAATCTGTACCTCTTTCTTTAACATGCTAGACATAAATCCCTGTACTATTTGAAACCTTAAGATAGTAAGTAAATTTACATAAAATCTGAAAATTCAAGTTTTAATAAGATAAACGAAGGTCATAATTTTGCTAAAGTAGTTATTTTTTTCTTTGCAGAATCCTAATAGAATTCCTCTGTAGCAAGGGGTAAAAAGGAAGGGGACCGAGCATGCTTGCGTTAAGCCCATTTTATCTTTTGAAGCCTCAAAACAGTCTTATGATGATATAAGGATCAATATTTGATTTTATATAAAGGAAACTGAAGCTGAGAGACTTTCAAGTCAATTCCTCAGTAGCACACAAATGAAAAATGGAAGTGCTAGAATT